AGATGCGTTGAATGTAGAGCAAAAGGAAACAGAGTGGAGTGGTGGGAAATTCATCTCCAGAGTAAATAGAATTGAATGGAAGTACTTTTGTAAAAAAAAGAATGAACATGCCTAGAATTACAGAACACACTGATGCTGCCAGAAACATGTTTGGCTTCCTTGCCAGACACTTTACTGCACTCTCGTTGTAATAATTAGTCTCATACTAACTTAGTCAAACAACCCCTATTAATTCTCATTTCTGTTTTAAAGGTACAATCTCAGTCACATGCACTTAAGTGATTTTTTTTTCTTTGAAAGCCAATGTATTTTACATTGTGAGCTTTACAGTTGTATTTTTAGTTGAATTCTGGGGCAACAAAGTCTCATAACATGAGAAAATTTTCAGCTGCTTAATTATAACATTTCATGTTTTCTTTTAAACAGATGTCCTTTAAATTTTTGAGTATATTTAGATTAGAAGAATGAGTTAAATTATTTCAAATTTATGGACTTTTGTAAGCTTAGGAAATACCTATCACCTAGACGTTGCAACCTCATTTTAATTGAAACTGAGGAGAAGGGAAGAGTGCTGGATATATACCCAAAAGAATGGAAATCACGTTGAAGGGATACTTGTACTCCTACGTTCATTGCAGCTCTATTCACAAAAGCCAGGATATGGAATCAATCTAAATGTCCACGAATGGATGACTACATAAGGAAAATGTACACAACTGAATACTACTCAGACATAAAAAAAAAGAATGAAATTCTGTCATTGGCAGCAACATGGATGAGCTTGGAGAAAATTATGTTAAGTGAAGTAAGCCAGACACAGAAAGAGAAACCACATGTCCTCACTCATAAGTGGGAGCTAAGAAAGAAAAAAGAAACAAACAAAAACAACAACCACAATAATATGTCGAACTTTCAGAAGGAGAGAATAGAACTGTGGTTACTAGAGGTGAGAAAGGGGAAGGGGGAGAGGAGTTAAGGAGGAATTGGAAAATGGACACAAAGAATAATGACATTTGATAATGATGAATATGTTAATAATCCTGATTTAATCATCACATATTGCATACAAATATTGATAGTCAGTTCTTTATCCAACAAATATGTATAATCAATTATGTTTCAATAAAAAAAAGAAAAGATAAAAGAAGGTATTGGAAAGAGGAAATAAAAAGAAAGAGCGCAAAGCAGGAGAAAGAAATTCTTTACTTGGAATAGGGGAAGGATTTGGGGGAATTTCCCAGGTAAGGTCATGGTTTGCACAGATGCATCCATGCCCCTAACTCAACTCTTTCTTATACCAGCTCATAGATGAACTTAGGTATCCAATCTGGAAATAATTGTTAAAATATTGAGTAGGTCATGAAAGCATCAAAAATGTATCACAGTACTGGTTAATGACTACAACAAAGATTTCTTGATCCCAGCTTCTAACATAAAGTAACACTGAATTAACTGGCAGAGGGAAATAAAAATTTCTTTAAAAAAACTTAAATTATAAATTTTTCCTTCATTGAGGGAAAAATATATTAGCTATATTGAGTCACTTCAAAGCAGTCGTTTTCAAACATTTTTAGCACCTTTTTTGCTTAGAATATTGTACAATATTCAACATGTGAAAGAGATCAGCATGACGCTGCCCTTGCTGAAGCAGGACCAGAGGCCAGAGGCCGTGCCCCACATGCTGGGGGCCAAGGCACCACGTGCATGTGTACACACCACCTCACAGGTCAGGTATGTTCAAAACCATTCATAGAAGCAAAAATCCTAATTAAGATATTAGCAAATAAACTATAAAAAATGAAAGGTATTTCTAATTGTTACCATAGAATATTTTCTAGGACATATTGTAAAAAGGGAAAGAAGCAAAGTGTAGAGGATACATGTTATCCTCTAGGGATACCTGGGAAAGTGATATGAATACCTGATTATGCAAATTTTCTTTTTTAAGAAGCATTAGAAAAATAAAATGAAAATATTTTAAATGTTTACTATGGCAGAAAGAGGGAGTAAGATGGAAAGGACAGAAATAGAAATTAAACTTCTTTGAATATACCTTGTTTTATAGATTTGCTTTTGGAGCCATGTAAATACTTTTATATAATTTGAATAAACAAATAAATAAAATGCTTCCTAAAAATACAAGGAAACTGTTAATGCGTTTAGTGGTGTAAATGAGAGGAACGATTTGCACATTTAGTGGTGTAAATGAGAGGAACTATTTGCACTGAGAGGAACTATTCCCAGTTACTTTAAAACAAATTGTTTGACTACATCACTAGTCGGACACCTCCTAAGGACAGAAAGAACTGCAAAACAATGTTCGAGGTTTCTTCTTTGTCTTCTTCATTATCCTATTATGTGTGGTAATGGATGTTGTTTGTACATTGGGAGATTAAACAAGTTGTTATGTTGGTATTATTGAGAATAAGATTTCCCAACATGACTGTACGATGTATCTTTAAAAAAAAAAAAAAAAAAGCATTCCCTAGTGGTTAAAGTGAAAATATGATGAAAAGAACTAGAAATAATAACACCACCACTAAAAGCAATAATCAACCCTATTAGCCAAGCTGTGATCTTTAATTACCATTTCCCATTAAAAGGAATGAGGACTCCTTTGGAAAATGATTGCAAATCTGGACAGGAATTGTACAAAATGAACTTGAGATATATTATTACACGAAAAACAAGGATGCGATCAGGACTTCTGGAATGACTTTGTGAGGACTTCTGCAGATTCTCTCCCCAGTGAAACAATTATTCATTTGTGAAAATTACAAAATGCAGTCATTTTAAGTATCTGGAAATTGACCTAAGGGCACACAGCAAATTAAGAAACATTTATTCAATGAAATCTACTGAACCTTGGAAAGAGCAGTTGAGTGTCTGTGGCATCTGAGTCAGGACCCACTCCCATCAGCCACCCCACCCACAGCTGTTACTTAAGCTCTCTCCAGGTAGATGCAGCCAAGAGGGTGAGAGCTCCTTTTACCCCCAGCACCCAGTCACAAGTCTCTGGTTTCACCCCAAGAGGGGAAGGCTGCTGGCCCTCTCTGTTCTGGGAGATGCAGCCAGCAAGACTGGGGTTCACTTCCTTCACCCAGTTCCTACTCATCTGGTGGAGGATCTATCCAATGCTTTGCAGGCCCAAAACACAAAGGCCCTGACTACTGTCCCTTCCCAGTTTCTGCTTGTATGACATAGGTTCTGCTCAGGAAGGGGAAGTTGAGAATACTTTAGGCTATTCTCCCCACTCCGAACTCCCACTCATAAGGTGAAGGTGCCACTATGGAAGAAGTAGGTCACCGTCTTCATGCACAGTTCTGACACAGTACAACACCAGAGGTTCTTCCCAACAGGAGGGGCAAGATATGAGCACTGGCAGCTCTATAGATCTGCCAAGGGATGACATTATTGGGAACACAATCTGAAAAAACTCATGTCTGAAGGCATCGTTGAAAACAATAAGGATCTTAACAGTGAGCAATTTTTAAAAGGCTAATAATTCAATGGAACTTGTTGCAACCAACAGAAGAGCTGACCAGCCAGAACTTTAACAGAGAGAACCAGAGAAAGAGAAGGATAAAAAAATTAAAAAGCCCTGTTAAGATCACATTCAGCGATGTGGTTCTACAGGCTATGCACATGTGCTAGGNAATGCTACAGGCAAGAACACAAGGCTTTCTCTTCCCCAGCCCCCAGTCAGAAGGCTTTCTTTCCAAAATGATAGAACTTCAGCATTTCTCATCCTGCCCCCAGCTACTTGTTGCTGAGTCTAAGCCCCTGACAAGTGCAGCCATGAGATGGGAACTCCCTTTTTCTACCCAGCAGAAATTCATTATTAGGTTATTTTGTCATTGTGCGAACATTATGGAATGTACTTACAGAAACCTAGATGATACAGCCTACCATACACCTAGGCTATATGATATAACCTATTGCTCCTACGTGAGTCATGCGTGGCACTATGAAGTTATAACAGCTATGACATCACTAGGCAATAGGAATTTTTCAGCTTTATTATAATCTTATGGGACCAATATCATCGACCAAAACATCATTATGCAGTGCATGACTGTATATCAATAACAGAATTAAATGTGAATGGATTAAACTATCCAATAAAAAGTCAGAGTTTGTCAGACAGGATTTTAAAAAATGATCCACCTATATGCTGAGACATACTTTGTATTCAAAGATAAACTTAGACTAAAAATAAAAAGATATGCAAAAAGATTTTTTTTTCCTTTTTGTCTTTTTTACTGACCGGTAATGGGATCGCAACCCTCAGTGTTGCACCCGCACCGCGCTCAGCCAGTGAGCGGGAACCGGTCTCCACATGGGATCCGAACCCTCAGTGGGAGCGCCGCCACGCTCCCAAGTGGCGCACTCTCCAGTGCGCCACTGGGCCGGCCCACAAAAAGATTTTTTAAGTGTCTTCATATAGATAATGGGATTAAATACCACATATAAACAATTCTCCCATTTGTAACAACATGGATGAGCTTGGAGAAACTTATGCTGAGTGAAATAAGTGATGCACAGAGGGATAAATACCACATGTCCTCACTCATAAGTGGGAGCTAAGAGAGAAAGAAGGAAGGAAAGAAAGACCACAGTGGTGTGTTGGACTTGCAGAGGGTGAGAGCAATACCCAGGGATACAAAATGGAGTGGGGGAGAGGAGGAGGGGGAGAGAGGTCAGGGATAACTGGGTGGGGGACACGTGGTAAAAATGCAATTTGTGGTAATGGGCATGCTGCCAGTATGGATCTGGCCTTCACATGGGCATGAGAGGTGACAATCAGCATTGT